GCGGCGGACACCGCGTTCCCGAGCCTGGTCCACCTGGCCAGCCGGGGGGAGCAGCGGAAGCGGGCGAGCGGCGCGAAGGCCCGGTATCCCTCCGCGGAGCCGGTGTTCATCGCCAGCCTGGGGCGGCGGGGGGGGGCGGCGGCGGCGGCGGCTGGGGACGGCGGGCAACGAGGGCAGCAGCAGCCGAGCGACGACGAGCGAGGCGGCGACGGGAGGAGGCATTCGACCGGGGCCGGCGGTCGAGGTCCCCGCCGGGGCGGCGGCTCTCGGAGCTCCTCCTCCGCGCCGCCGCCCTTTGAGTGCCTGTGGTGGGTCACGCGCAGCGGGAACCACTTCGCTGTTATCGGCGACCCCGATGGAGAGGTGAGAGTGCTACACCAACCGTTTTTTTCTTGGAATGGGAGGTGGGAGGGGGGGTGTACTGATAGTCGTGCATGCCGTAGTCGTTAGACCGTTGACCTCGCATCCCTACAAAGCCGGGACGGAGCACGCCGGGTTCTCACCGGACCAGGCTCTCACATCACCAAGCGCAAAGCGCCGTGAGGTACCGTATATGACACAAGATAACACACCTACATAAGAAGGCACACCCCCCACAGAATACGACACCCCGGTGATAGTTTTGGGCGCTTCTGACAAACCATCGATTTATCACCGGGGGTACATAAGATAACACACCCCGGTCATATTTTTAGTTACGCCGCATATGGTCACGGGGCCCCTCCTTCTTTATCACCGGGGTGACAGCATCTGCCCTGGGCAATCACACACACAACCACGTCAGCTGTGTGCGGGGAAACACCCCGCATGGAGACCCCCAACAACATGAACGTGCAGGCAGAGCAGAATACAGCCGCAAGTACCAAGTAAACGTTTTTGTGAGGGGGGCAGGAAGGATGGCGCACGCAGTCTGTGGCCACCGCCAATCATCGTATCGGTCGAGGTACCTTCGATTTTTGATTTTTTTCTTGCTCGATTCAAGCCCGTATTTTGTTTCAAACTTTTTTTGGCGATGAGAGGGTTGAGTTATCGCCGAGGTCATGTGCTCAGGAGTTTCGTCACCTCGGTTGAGCCCCTTTGTTTTCCACGCCCCTTTAGGTAGGTCCCTACACTGCACGTGTACGTGCAGGCATGGCTATCACACCCCCTTTTATCGCACCCCCTCATTTATCACGCCCCAAAGCACACGCTGTGGCTGTTCGGACGTGCTATCACACCCCCTTTTATTACACCCCCTCATTTATCACACCCCCAAACACACGCTGTGGGTGTTCGGACGCGCTATCACACACCCTGTTTTATCACACCCCCTTAGGGGCCCCTGCGAGCTGCACTTTATCACCAGGGGTGCACAAGATGACACAACCCCCACAGGACCACACCCGGTGATAATATTTTCAAACTCCAAAATGTTATCACCGGGGGGTGTTTTCTTGTGTCATATACGGTATTCGGCGAGTTGCATGAAGGGTGCCCTGCATCCTGCTAAGGGTGTTCGGCATCTTGTGCTTAATTCCTTGCGTACGGATGACAGCTGCGTATGACTTTATTTATTTTCTGGTACCTTCACTTCCAGAGACAGTTATAAACACGGTGTAACTGCCTCAAGGGTGTTGACCAATTTACCACAACTTGGTGCGATTATCCCCTGTGCGCGGAGTGAGGGTTCTCGACCCCGCACAACATAATCCATTCGACCACCATTTTGGAGTGCGGGGGGATCTATCTGTAAAACTGCAGAAACAACGACGGGCGGCGGGATAGCGGGACCTAGGAATATAGAGGCTTGGAAGTGCCAAGTGGGCGGTCCAACATCATGGGTCTTTCATCGTGGAAGGGGCTTGACACCTGTTTGTCCGCGACGCCGTCGTTTTTCGACCTTGCAAAAATTCGTCCGTCAGAAGCACGGATTGGATTGGACGGAAGCGACAGTTCCGATTGATTTTTGCCGTGGTGGGTCTCCTCGTTGCCGTTTGCGGGAACCCGTGCGGAGAGGGCGAAGTAAACCGTGGCGCCCCTTGGAATGCTGCGATGCTCACCTTATGTTGTTGGCCTGCGGGCGGTAGGGGCTTGTAGACTCTCGCACATTGTCTTTCCCGTTGATGATGAGTGGATCCTTTTGTCGAACTGTAACCTTCATAGGTGCACTTTCTCGACTTGGAGCGCCTGGACGCGTGGGTCATCGCGCCGCCTCTACCAGCCATGGCGCGGGGTCGCGTGTGCGCCTTGGACATTGTCACCGACCTCGCGGGGACTTCTCAAGCGCCCCCGCCCCGCGCGCGACGGACAGGGAGCGGCTCCGAACCGGGGGAAGCTTCCGACCAAACCGCTTCAGCAGCGGGGCCTCCTGCTGCTGCTGCTGCGGCCGGCGATGGGGAGCAGTCGCACAGCAGCAGCCCGCCCCGGCACCTCGTCGCGGTGTTGCATACGGGTGCCGTGTTTGTCGCGCTGCTCGAGCGAGGACACCCTGACGACGGGGTGGGTGTTGTCGGCGGGGAAGGGGGGGGCGATGCGAAAAACGCGGCCAAAGGAGAGGCAGGGGACGAGGGTGACAAGAGTAGCGGTGATCACATTGGCAAAGTGGACGGTCATGGCAGAGATAACAGCAGCAGCAGCAGCAGCAGCAGCAGCAATTCCCAAGGTTGCTCGGGACAGCAGTACGTATGCCTCGGAGCGGATACAGCAGACCAGCCGGCGTTTTACCCCGTATGGCTAGACGTTGGGCGAGGCGGGGGCGGAGGTGGCGGGGGCGGGATGGGCGTCCGTGTGATACCACCTTCACATCCACCCGGCGACGGGGGCGGGGCCTCATCTCTTCGCCTCCGAATGTCGGTCGTCTCGAGGGCGTGGGGCAACAAGTGCGCAGTTAAGATCTTAAGAATAGCGGGCGCTGCGCCGGGGGTGTCCACCACCGCTGCCGCCACCGCCGGAGACAAGGACAAGGAACAGCCGCGCCCGCAGCAGCAGCAGCAGGGATGGGGGCTAGATTGGAGCACTGCCTCCGGCTCTGCCGCCGGGAAACCCCAGCCGCTCCGGACGGCGACCGTGAGACAGGTAAACCTACCCGTGGACCACCCCGTCCCCGAGCAGCACTCCCTCGCCGCGGTCGACGGGCTCTGGGCCGTGATCGCCAGCCCCCCGGCGGGCGGCGGGCCCGCTCGCGTCGCCGTCGCGCCTCTGGGGGGGGCGGATCACTCGGCGGCTCAACACCACCACCACCACCACCACCCCGTCTGCGTGTTTCCCCTGCCCGCCGGGGAGCGCGTGAGCGGCGTCGCGCTTCTGCCCCGTGCAGGCGGCGGTCAGGCCGAAAGAGCTAGCGGCGGCCGCGACAGCAACGGTTCTTCGTGTCCGGGCGCTGCCGTACCCGCAGGGTCGTTGGGCTTGGTGTGGACCGACTCCTGCGTTTACCGCGTCGACCTCGGCGTAAGAGCGGAGGCGGCGGCGCCCCCCCAGCCGGCCGCCGCGGCCAGCCGCCGGCCGCGACTCCCTGTCCCGCCTCGGCACGCGACGGCGGCAGCGGCAGCGGGGACGGCGACCGCTGCTATCGCGCTTCGTCGGCCGTCGGCGGCGGCCGTGCGCCGCGCGCGCGAGTTGCACGCTGCCGGGCGGGTGTCCGAGGCGGCGAGAGTGGCGATCGAGGCCCTGGACGGGAAGAATGAAACGTCGACGGCGGTAACGCCGGCCCGCGGGGGGGGCGGGGGCACCGGCGGAGGCGGAGTGACGACGCGCATGGTCCGAGAGGAGCTGGCGAACACGCTCCTGGAGTGGCTAGTCGTGCTTCACGTGCGGCAGGCCAGCAGCGCCGCCGGTTCTCGCCTGGCGCCCGCAGACGACGCGCTGAAACGCGGAAGTGGAGAAGAAGAAGCAGGAGGTCTTCCGGACAGCTGTGCTGACGTCACCGGGAGCAGCGCTCGTGCCCCCGAAAAAGAGAAGAGTAAAACAAAGAGGGCGTCTGTAGCCGCGGGGGGGCGGGGGGGGCGCTCCGCTGTCCGGCGGGACCCCAAGGTGGGGCGGCCTTCGTCCGCCCGCCCGGCATCGAAGAAGCACGAAGAAGCGGCTTCGAAGACGACGTCGAGCGGTGCCGCGGACGACGATAGCCCGCCGGCGGCGGTTGCGTCGGCCCAGCCTTCGGCCAAGCAGCTGGAGCGCTACTTGCTGGCGTCGCGCGACTACGACCCGGTGCTGGCGACGACGCTGCTGCACGAGCACGGCGAGGCCGACCTCGCCGTCATGGCCGGTATCGCCCGAGGAGTAGGAGTAGGTGGGGCCGAGGCGTTGGCGTTGCCGAAGGTGCTACGTGTCCTTGCCGAGTCTGCGTGGCCGCCCAGGCTCGGGTCACGCGCCGTGGACACCCTCTGCGGCGACGAGACGGGAGCGGCGGCGCGGGAGGCCATCCAGGCCGGCGGAGGCTCGCTGTTCGCCGCCCTGGAGCCGGGGTTGAAGCTGCGACTGCTCCTGTCGAGCAGAAGCACGCTGCTCGGCGATGGGGGGGAGGGGGCGGCGGCCGTGGGAGAGGAGGAGCCGGAGGCGGCGGCGGGCGCGGGTGGTGCTGCACGGCCCCGTGCCGGCGAAGCAGCGATCGCTCGGGTACGCAGCCACCTCGGCCCCATCGTCCCCGCACTCTCGGCGGAAGAGCTGGACGCCCTCGTTTCCAAGCTGGCCCAGTGGTGCAAGGAGGACGTCGTCGCCGCCGTGGCGACCTCCGACCCCGCCGCGAGAAGACCAAGCGAAACCTCTGCCGCCGCCACCGCCGCCGACGCGGACTGCGAGAGCAGCAGCTGCATAGCCCCTCCTCCGTCTAGTCCTGCTGCCGTCGAGGCTCTCGAGGTCCTTGTCGAGGCCTTGTGCGAGCTGAGCGGACGGAGCCCCCCCCCGGGTGAGGATAACAGACGCGCCTGGTTGCGCGCGGGGTGCGTCACCACCACCGGGTCCCCTCCAGCGGTGGTGCCAGCCCGGGGAGAGGCGAGACCTCGCCGCCGCCTGGAATGGGCACGGGCGACATCCTCGCTGTGCGACCTCTTGGCCGACGAGAGCGGAGGGCTAACAAGCGGCGGCGGCGGCGTCGACGACGGTCGCGGTGGCGGTGGTGAAGGCCCCGGTGGCGTGGGAATAGAAGAAGGCGGCCTTCCCTCCAAGGCCCGCCGGCGCCTCCTGCGAATCCTGCCGATTGTTTGGGGCTGGCACGACCCGGTGAGCGCCCTGATGAGGCTGAGAGGGGCCGGGTGTTGGGCGGCGGTGGCGCTGCAGCTGGAGCTGTCCGGGAACGAGCGAGAGGCAGCGTCGGCGACGCTGCACGGGGTGGTGTCCTTGTTGAGGGTGAGTTGGGGCTCGGAGTCGGGGAGAATACTGCAGGTGTACAAGGGTAAGATGTATGATGCTCTCGGGTGTTTTGGCTCGTAGGAAGGACCTGCTCTCGCGTGCAGTCACACAGGCCGTTGGGGGCGTAAATTGCGCCCGCGCATGTTGTTGGCATGGTTCGAGTTTCGGTGTATACACGGGCGTATTAGTTGCTGTCGTTCATGGGCTGAAGTTGCTTGCCGTTTGTGTGAACAAGGGCGTTGTTAGCCTTGCACGTGCGGCAGCATATGGCGTACTCCTTCGACCATGCTTCTGTTGATGCATTCCCCCGAGACCTCGGTATCCTTCCAAATGTGTACACTCCGGCAATCGTCTACCCATCTACACCACGATGCACGACATCGTTATCGAGACCGAGCACCGCTCCTTCGCCTACAGAGGATCGCCGCCGAGCTGCGAGGCACTCTGCAGCAGTTCTTGTATTTTCCTCCTTTTGTTCTTGTACGAATGTTCCCGTGTGTTTTTATAACGAGCATGGAACACGCTAACCCCCTGACCAATGAAAAATTCATCATTTTTTAGAGGTGTCTTGGTCTGGCCTTTTTGTGCGTGTTTCTTTGGCTACTACCGGCGGCGCTAACCGGCTGGCCAAGTAGAATACATCAGTCTTTCAGCGGGATACAAGAAATGGGAGCACGCTTTCGAGCTGCATTTCCTTGTCAATCGTGCGCTAACCGGCTGAACAATGAAAATACGCCGGTCTTGTAACTGCACAAAGTAGAAGCGCCAACAAAAATCTATTGTCATTGCGAGCCGGCCCGCTTGGCTGCGTTGGGTTCCCCTAGTAAAGTTCGAAACCTCACAACCTAGCTTGTCACCCCCCTTGTTGTCTTTTGCGCTCCTAGGAGGCACGGGGTGAACAAGGAGCACCGGGCGAGGCCGCTCTCATTCTCGGGGGAAAAGGTCGTACCTTCCCCGGCGTCGAACAGTCTCATCCAGGACCTACGACAACAACAGGAGGCACGCCGGCGACGGCGGCGACTGACGATGAAGCGACGGCCGAGACCAAGCGAGTGGCGAGCGAAGCCGCGCTTCGCGTGGTCAACGAGCACGTCTTTCCAACGCGCTTGCGGAGGGGAGACGACGACCCCGGCGACGGCGCCATCGACAACGACGACGGCGGCGGCAGCGGCGGCGGCGGCGGTGGCAATGGCGGGGGACAGACCGCGGCGGCGGCGGCGGCGGCGGCGGCGGCCTTGCCCGCCTCCGCCGCCGTCATCCTCGCGCGAGCTTCCGTCCTCGCCGAGGCGCTCTGCGCCTGGCGGCACTTCGAGCTACCCCTCCCGCCGCTCGAGGTGGCCCTGCGGCCGCGGCTGGGGGACCGGGATGGCGTGCGCGTGCTTGCCGCCGTCTTCTTCCCGCAGCTGTCTCGCGACCACGCACAACCGGACCTTGTCTCAGGTGTTCCAACGGGAGGAGGCCCGCGGGGTAGGGGGGGGTCGCGGGATGGATGGCGAGGGCAATCGTCGCTGGCTGCGACCGGCCCTCTGCGGGCAGCAGCAGCAGCAGCAGCGACGGCGGTGACCCTATCATCGCCGGGGCCCACCGTCGCACAGATGGACAAGGCGCGGGAGCTGGGTCTCGCGCCTCAGTTTTTGCTCGCGCTGATGCGGTCTGCCGGAAAAACGCCGCCAGCGTCGGCCGGAGGGCGCCCCGCTGCACAGCAGACCGGCACTCCCCCGAACGTCGCCGGACCGGCTACGGGGCCGTCCCCGCTGACTCTCATGCTCGACCACCGGGCGGGTAACGGCGGCGCGTCATCGTCTTGGCTAGCGGCGGCGGCGCCCGGGCGCGAACGTTCAACGTCAGCCGCGGCGGGGAGGAGGAGGAGGAGGAGAGGAGACCGCGCGGACGCCGCGAGCGCTTGGCCCCGGGGTCCCACCAACAGCGGCGCCGCGCAAGGAGACGCGCCGCCATCATCGTCGTCTGCCGCCGCTGACGGAGATTGTTCGGAGGACCCTACCGTTTGGGTGTTTTCCTGCGGGCACGAGTTCTCGCTGGGGCACCTTCTCCGGAGCGTGGTGCCGGCGAGCGTCTCGAGCGTCCGCCAGGCCACGGCCTCCCTGCAGCGCACGCAGCAGGTGGTGGCGCTGGAGTACGAGCGAGACCGCGGCGGCGCCGGGGCGGCGTGCCCGGAGTGCGCGGCGAAGGAGCTGGTGCGGCTGGCCGCCGCGGCGGCGGCGACGGCTGGCGCCTCCATGCAGAGGGGGGCGGCGGCGGGCGGGGTGGTGGCGGCGGGTGGCATTCCTGCCCCGCCGCCTCTGCCGCCGGCACGGCGGCCGCAGATGCGAGACACACAGGGGGTTCGATAGCGGCACTGCTGTGTGGGTTTCGCGCCGCGCTGCTTGGGAGATGGTCGGCCTCGCGGTGCAGGGCGAGCGGAGAGGGGAGGAGTGCTTGTGTCAGGAGCGGGTGGAGTTGCCTCCCTCTTTGCCTCTCTGGGCGCCGATTCGTCCTTTGCATTTCGCTGCAGCGTGTTTTTTGCGTGTGCGGTGTCCACCCCCTCTCCCACCCTATTGTTCGCGTAGCTTGGCTTCCGTCGTGAACGTTGTTGGCGGATCTTCACCACGCTTATTGCTTCTCCGGTTGATCGGGTTGTACGCGATTCGGGTCACCGCGAAAGCCGTGCTTTGTAGGAGACAACGATCGAGGACTGCTGTGGTTACAGCGTTGGAGTTTCACTGCAGACAGACAAGGGTGCGTTTCAATAAAAGGAACATGTATCCACCCAACACCGGAACCGGCCCTATATTCCCGGCCAGAGGGAGTATTCTATTGGCCCAGACAAATGTGAATGGCGTTTCGTCACAAACATCCACTTCACGGTCGACGAGGGAAAGGAACACGGCGTAATCCTTGTCGCGAGAGGTGGCAGGCAAGCACGGCAAGAAAAAGAGAAAGGTGATAAAAACGAAAACACCCCCTCCGTGCCTCCCTCTGCTGTGACCCAGGCCGATGCGCCCGAAAGTACCAAGAGGAGCAGAAACGGACGTCTTGAGAAGGAAATGAACCCCGGCAACAAGCAACCATCCGTGCGTTGACTGCTGTTTGCTCGTGCTGTGTTTCGTTGAGCTTTGGTTACCGGCAGAGCACATACATTGATTGCTGCTCTTTTCCTGGTTGTTGAAACACGACGATTCGCAGCTAAGTCCATGCTACATAGCGTCCGGTCCATGCCTTCTTCGTCCAGGCCCCGGAGATGTGACCACCTACCTGGCTCTTATTCGAAATTGTTGCACCGCCGGTGACATCCTTCCTCTAGACATGACTGGCGTACACGCCCACATTCATTTCACGCGCAGGCATAGTTTCGAGCGAGACTGAACAAACGAAATCATCAAAAAAATGTTTCGACAACATACGTTCATTCTCCACCCGCAACCGCAGCCGAAGCACATAGAGCAAAATCATTGCACAAGCTGGTTGCTCCGCGCGTTCGTGTCGTCATTCGCAACCATGCATACATACACACATGCAGTCGTGGTGAACGTTCGCAGGTTGCTACCGCTGTTGGTATATTCTTGATGTACACCGCATTTGACATAAAAAAAGCTACCATTTGCTCTACGCCATGATACCAAGACACCTACTACCTGACACTTGGCGCACATGGGTAGGGCATTTGTCTACGTGCGCCACGCCACACACACAAGCAATGTAGGAAGAGACACGAAACAAGGCACTCTGCTGTTGTACTCGTGTGTGGCCTTCCTTCCTCCTGTGACCCCTGCTGATACACCCCCAGAGCATGTGCCGCAAGGTATAAAAACTAACGCCCAGAACACTTTCTGCATCCCTATCGCTGCCGGTCCGTACCCAATACACATGCCGCATTGCAGCGCCCTACATATAGCACGTTTAGGCTGTAACAGGGAGAACTCCTACGAACGGTTTACTACCTACGGACGGTTGGTGTTTTCATGGGAAATTCGCGAAACGCCCAGATATGCATGCAACAGACGCCAAAACGCCTCCCTGAGGAAAGCCACGAAACACCAAAAAAAAAAAAAACTCGGCGGACCAATCAAACATCGTCCCCCCCCCAAAATCTCACAGAGACGTCGTCACAGTGCGGGGGTTACAGCGGCGGCCGCCACTACATCCCGGCCACACCCCTTTCAGCACTAACCTAAGCTAGGGATCGAACTCTCTCACCAGTCAACATCGCCGCCACCGACCACAAACAATCCAAACGAGTGAGCGGGCATCACGTTGATCTACACACTAACTGCTTTTCGCGCAACCGCCCGGGGCTGCGTTTCGTCGGCGCGAAAACAAAACCAATCCCCCCCATCGCTCAACAAAACCAAAGCGCAACAAGAGCGGCAGTACCGTCCCGGCGGTGGCCAACGCACCGGATGACTACGACCAACCCCGTGCAAGACACACAACAGCGCTGCATGCCGCCTGCCGCGAAAGCGCCGGGCGATCTACAATCCTCCTCGTGCAAAGAGCGCCGCATGAACCACCGCCGCCGGGAAAAGAACGCTGCGTGTCGATCGACTACCGCATAACCTTCTACACCGGCCGGTGCGACAATCTCTTTTCTCCTTATTGTTCCGGGCACGGGCGAGGATGGGGGGGGGCTCCGTCAATCATCGTCACCTCTCCTCGGCGCCCTCCCCCAAAAAAATGTGGTCCTGTGCCTCCTGCTTGCTATGCCGGGAGCGCGTACGGCTCGTCGTCTGCTGCTTGCGGACCTCGCTGTTCTTCGAGTAGAAGGGCTTCTCGCCCCCCGTACCCCCCCACTTGGAAACCCCCAGGATTTCCCTCAGGAGCTCGTTGCTCTGCATCTGGGTCTGTGCCGTCGTCGCCGCCGCCGCCAGGGGGAGGGGAAGCGCGGCGTCGAGAGAAGGGGTTCGGGGTCGGGCACGGCCGGGGTTTAGTGTCATTGCGGGGCAACAATGAGCTTGACGCTGGGCAACAAGCAAACTAACCAAAAATGCAATCGGGTTTCGGCTTAGTAGAGGGAGACGGAGGGAGGGGGGGGGGGGGGGGGGCCCCCGGACAACCAAAAGGTTTTTGGGGGAAAAGCCCCCTCCCGGGGCCCCCGGGTACCCAAAATCCGGGTCCCCCCGTTGTAGGGGACCCCCCCCAGGGGGCAAAAAAAAACCTTCCGGGAAAAAACGGGGAAAAGCCTTCCCCCCAAAAACTTTAAAAATGCCCCGGGGTTGAAAAAAAAAAAAAAATTTTTTTTGTCTTTCCCCCAAGGGGAAAAAAAATTTGCCCCCCCCCAAAAAAAACCCCCCCAAAATGCCAAAACAACCGAATTTCCTTCTTTCCCATTCCCATCCGGGGGCCCCCCCCAAGGAAAAAAAAAAAAAAACCCCCCCCCATTTTCGGCCTTTG